ATGTTCATTCTGCAGTTTATCCTTTGTCTCTGTAGTTACACAGCAGTGAGCACTCTCTTAGGTAGCTAAAACATTGTTTGAGGTCCTTTACCTGACTCCAAGCCTTTTAAAAACCATCATGCATTGTGAGGATGCTTCATTGGCTATTTTCCCCAAATGTACATTTGCTGACCCTATGGTCAGTTTACTGGCTACCATCAGGTAAATCCAGTGTGCCTTTAAATGGCACAAGGTCAGTGCTGGTGGCTCATACCTGTAATCTAGCTACTCAAGAGGAGACCAGGAGGATTATGGTTCAAGTCAAGCCCTGCTAAAAGAAGTTCATAGACCTCATCTCAATAGAAAAAGCTGGGTGAATGATGTAAACCTCTTATTCCAGCTACATATGAGACTGAGATCCAGAGGATCTTTGTTCTAGGAAGACCTAGGCAAAAAAAGTTGACAAGAAGCCAGATGCTGGTAGCTCACACCTATAATCCTGGCTACTCAGAAGGCTGAGATCTGATGATCGCTGTTCGAATCTAACCAGGGCAGGAAAGTCCATGAGACTCTTATTTCCAATAGATTCAGAAAAACCTAGAAGTGGTGTTGTGGCTCAAGTGATAGATGGCTAGCCTTGAACACATAAAGACTCAGGGACAGCACCCGGCCCTGAGTTCAAGCCCCAGGACTGGCAAGAAAATAAATAAAGTTCAGAAAATCCCATCACAACGGAAAAGACTGGACTTGGTGGCACCAACCAGTCACCTTTTCACCAGATGGAAAGGTGGAAAGTGAAAATAGGATCATAGTCCAGGCTGGCCCATAAAAAAAGAAAGGTCGTATCTCAGAAATAACCACAGTAAAGAAAAAAGTGTGCCAGGCACTAGTGGCTCATGCCTGTAATCCTAGCTACTCAGGAGGCTGAGATCTAAGGATTGCAGTTCAAAGCCAGCCCATGCAGGAATGTCTGTGAGACTCTTATCTCCAATTAACCACTAGAAAACTGGAAGTGGCACTGTGGCTCAAGCGGTGGAGCCGGTTACCTTGAGCTGAAGAGCTGTGGAGCAGCACCCAAGCCCGGAGTTCAAGCCCCACAACCAACAAAAAAAAGAGAGAGAGAGAGAGAGAAAAGAAAAATATGTGTGCTTCAAGTAGTAACACATTTACCTAGCTTGTTAATGTAAAGCTCTGAGTTCAAATCCCAGTACCACTTTCAAGTGGCATAGACCTTGGTCTTGACCCCAAACCTGCTTCATAGTTCCCTTCCCGACTGCACCCCTTGCCACTGTTGTTGACTTCCTCTTTGCATTCACAGGAGCTTCCATAAGTAGCTGCTCTAGCTGCATAGTAGTCAGCTGTGTACAGATGGGCCTAATCCTAGGGTCATCTACCACTAGTTAGTGACAGCAAAAGATTTTGGTAGGCCTGGGAAAAACTCCTTTGATGCAGAGAACACTCGTCAGGAGATAGCATTGGATGCAGATGTCTGCCAACTTGTTTGGCATTCATCAACAGCTAACACAAAGAACATATGTAACCAGACAATCTCTTAAGACAGGCTACCTGGGAGAAGCTGCTCTCTGCAGACTTCCATCTTGTTAGGGGACTATAGCACTGACCCCCATGGACCAGTGCCCCACCTCCTACCACAGTTCTGTCATAGTCACTGAGGAACTTTTTTGGTTTCCGTGTTAGATATGGTGACTCAAGCTTATAATCTTTCTTTTGTTTTGTTTTGGCCAGTCATGGGGCCTGAACTCTGGGCCTGGGCACTGTTCCTCACCTCTTCAGCTCAAGACTAGTGCTCTACCACTTGAGCCATAGTGCCACTTCTGGCTTTTTCTGCTTATGTGGTGCTGAAGAATCGAACCCAGGGCCTCATGCATGCAAGGCAAGCACTCTACCACTGAGCCAC